GGCTTGAAATGAACGTTAAATTCTCTACCTAAGCAGTGTCTAGGCTAGCAGATCATGGACACAAATGTGCTTTCACCTCTGTGTTTATGTCCAAATAACATGGAAGGAAAAAACTCTTTATACTGAGATAAATAGTAGTCTTGTTGTGGTTAAGATTTGAGATTCATAGGACTCATTATGGGGGAAAACAGATCACTGATGAAACAATTGATGAATGGAGCTCTTCTTGGAAAAGGATGGAGTGGGTCTTCACCATCTAAAATTGGGTGCTGTACCTGATACAAAGGGACTTTGCATGTAATTCCGGTATCAGAGAAGGAAAGCCAAATGTTGGCTGCCTCTGATAGCTTCTGATAATTCAGAATGATCCCAAATCATGTATGCTCTCAGAAAAGATAAATGTCAAAAATGATAACTGCTAGTGAAAGTCTAGGTTCAATGCTGACTTCAGAATGTTTTTGAATAAGTAAGGAGAGTCGATTTGATATTAATAAGTGTGAGTAACACAAAAGGTTCCTTTTCCAATGCAGAGAGTTAGCGCTTGGGAAATGATCATTGAGTGTAAAACTTGTGTCTATATGAACAAAAATGAACAAGTTCTCAGTCTAAAATTGTATTCATAATACCATAGGGACTGTAAGACACAGCAAGCATCCAGTAGAGAGTACCTAACTCAGAGCACACCAAACAGGAATTAGTCTCTTATCTTTGAATTTCTCTAATGTTAATGTACTGTTAAATCTCTTAAATCTTACTTGCAGAGAGGCTTTGGATCAGTACTGTGGTGCACTTCTAAAGATAAAGAAAAATGGGTTTATTATAACTCCACAAAATATATAAATGGAAATAAACTCATTGTCAATATCAATTCCATTAAGATCAATGTGTAGACTATTCTAGAGTTCAGTTGTAGGCAATTAATTCAGAGAGAGCTCTTACTTCCATTCATGGTATATTTAAACTCAAAGAGAGAGCAATCTATCTAGCATTAATGCCTAAAAATAAACTCCTATGCAGATCTGTGATGATCCTAACTAAACAATCTCAGACAGAGAGAGCAGCATCCTTACCAGACTCAGGACCTCAAACTGACTGAGTCACAAAATAGCTTCTTGTTGTTGTTTGACTCTGGGCTAAATGTACTAGAAAGAATTCTTGATTTGGTGTGGGTGTTCACACACTTAACACAAGGGGAGCAGCAGAGCCAGAGAGATTTCTGTGAATTCTAGGACAGCCACAGCTTCATAACAAAATATTAGTCACATAACATAAAGAACCAAAAAGGAAAATTTCTTAAACTGTATAATCCTATTTCTTTTCCTTCAAAAACACAAAGAAGTTTCTTCAGCTTTTTAGCTGATATTGTTCAGTTTTGTTAAAAAGCCCCAGCACGGGACGCTGGGTGTACAGCAACTGTTCTTTAGCTGATATTGTTCAGTTTAGGTAAAAAGCCCTAGCCCGGGAAGCTGGGTGTACAGCAACTGTCCTTTGCAGCATGATGAAACACGGTGGACAGAAACAGACCAGGGACAAAGACCTTCACAAAAAGCTGAAAAGGGAACAATGTGCATACTCTCCTCATCCTTTTTGGGAAAGAGGCCCCTTAGTTGCAGTCAGTTCACAAACTCATGTGCAGCTTAAAACATGGTCATTACAGTGTTCATCATCTCCCATAAAAACAGTTGTTGGAATGAATCCTCCAAGTAGTTATGTACGGTGAGCTGTATCTCACAGTGAGAGAGCAACAGGAACATCAGTGGGGTGGAACACCACATCCCATGGGTCACCTGCTGACCTGGAATCAATTGACATGTCTGTGTCCACAATATAGGAACTCACTCAAGTTTTCACTGTACACTGACAGTTTGTCTTTCATCAATGAAAATTACTCCTCTTTTTGTCTTGTTTCAAGAGAAACTTTCTGTATCTTCTTAGCATTCCCCATGACTCAGGAAGGGCATCTGACCCACTATCAAATGGGCTGAGACTGTGGCTCAGTGGTAAAGCCTACGCCTATCATGTGGGAGCCTCAGTCAGCCCTCATCACTATAAGTGCAGAGAACAACAAAATTCACAGTAACATGATACTAGAAATTTACCTGCATTACCATAATACTGACTCTTTTTGTCTTACCTCTGAAGGGAAGAAGGCATTTGGATTTACTACCTAGTGTGGCTACCAGTGGCCAGTTAGATATAAGAGACACTGTGATGACAGTTATTGAAATACAAACTCTGCAGTGTTCCTTCCACTGTCAGAGAGTCTCCCTAGACTCAGTGGAGATGCAGCTAATTCTTTGACATACAGAATGATGTCATTGGCTCAACTCTCCCTTCATGTCCAAAGTTTCTCTGGAAATTGTGCTTTTCAGTGTGTAAGCCATGTTTTTATCATACCCTTATGTACTTTACAAAACAAAAGGGAAAATGTTATAAGGGTAGAATAAATATGAAGGGTGCAAGCTAGAATATTCACAAGGCCATGCATTCAATCCCAGAACTTCAAAAACCCAAAACCAAAGAAAGAAACAAAGAAGAGAAGAACATATAAGGATTGACAGTCTTCTTAAAGTCTATTACACTTTCTATGACTCAGCATTGTCAGTCTACTATGGGACAGGACTAAAGATAAACTTAATTAAGCGTGTGGAATCTATCTCAAGTGACAAATTGCAAGATAAATAAAACACCAAGATGACTGTAATTACCTCATTAGGCAAGAAATTAATTAAAGTGACTGATTATTAAGTTTGTGACATAATTACATTTTAGTAATTTTCAAGTTTATAATCATATGCAGTACAAAGGATGAAGCATTTGTTATAAAAACTGAAAGAAAAAATCAGTTTTTATACCAGTCCAATTTGCTAGTGTGCTTATGGAGGTCCCCTTCCAGGTTAAGAAGTTTTCTCCTTTATACAAAGACAGGACATGTATCAGTGTCAAATCAAATGAACAACATTTTTGATGGTATATTTTCATGGTTGAAAGTGCTTAGAAATGTTTAATTGATTCTGATATTTCCAGAATAGTAGGAAACAAAATTTAAAATAAAATAACTGCATTTATATTTGATTTCCTTAACTCCTTTCAGGGCGTTAAAATTTTTACTCTTATTTGTTTTATTTAGGGTAGTTAGGGACAGATAGAGTAGTTCACTCTAAAAATCTTACCTCTGTTGAGTCTCAAATGCTCTTTGTTTCTCTGTTCTGGCTCCTTGGCAGATGTTCTTTTGCTGTGACATATGTTAAAAGTGATCATTATTGTACTATTACTATGAAAGACATTTAGCAAGTGCTCTAAAGGCTTTACTTTTGAGTCCCTATCTGATATAGGATCTCACTATGTAACCCAGCTGACCCGAAACCTAGTGTGTGGACCATGTAAGCCTTGAACTTACAGAGATATGCCTGCATTCTGCCTCCTGAGTTCTGAGATTAAAGCCTTTGGCAAAACTCTGGCAGTTAACTCAGATTTTTCTCTGTTTAAGCAATGAGGTATACATCATAGGCTTTAAGAAGAAATTTTAAATTCTCTAAAATTGAACGAATTTAAAATATACCATGCTAGATATACAATGAACGACATACTCAGAAAGAAACCAGTAGCTATAAGTACCTACATTAAAAAGAGTCAGAACGATCTCAAATAACTTAATGATGCATCTTAGGGCTTCAGAGAAACGAGGACCCAGCAAAGCCAAATTAGTAAGTGGAACGCGACATGAGGGCAGAAATTAATGATCACACACAGGAGGGGCCAGGGGTTCTTCCACACACTTTGTTCCCATGGCTGCAGTAACTGCTGACTTTGTTCATGTGCTCAATGCACTTAATGCTCCTGTTTAATTCCTTTCCCACACCCTAGAGCACCATTGTCCCTTCACTATCAGGAAACATTTTAGGTATTTCGCTGAGTCTCATGCTCCCTCCCAAGAGGTTGGTGGGTAGAACATGAAACAGATTCATAGCTCTAAGCGCTGAAGGGCCAGCACTCTCAGAAGCCACCACATTTTTGGTGCTTTAAAGCTGCTTTTTGATAGTCTATTCACAAGTATATGATGAAGCTGTCAAATGGCTATTTTTACGCTCAACAAGCAATTCTGTAATGCTGAGTCTTTATAGCACAGTGGGGAGCAACGCTGTCCCCTCAGCACCACTTTATCCAAACTACAGACAGAACTCCAGACTTCAGGGCTTGTTGTTGGTAATAATAAACCACTTCATTCTCCTACCTTCCACCGTCCTTGGTTTTCAGCACCGTTGTGGAACTCATTGAGGAGGCTCTTTATGTCTGTGCGGAACATGTCCATAAGGCCATTCTGAAGGGAACTTCAGCAATGCCTGGGAGAGTCTTGGACCCTGCCTTGTTACTCACACTCTTGCCAACAGATAACTTGGCCCAAACATACTAGTGATCAGAATTAATGACCTGAAACTGATATTTTAAATACATGTGCATGGTATGTTGTGGGCAGTGCACTTGCATGCATATGTGATTTCAGGTACATACATGCATGCCAGGGTGCATAGTTTGGCAATTAGAGTACAAACTGCGCGGAAGGTCAACCTTCACCTTCAACCTTGTTTTTGTTGCTGTGTCTTGTCCATCAATGCACACCCCCAAATAATTATTGAGTCAACTTTGGGGGATTCTCTGTCTCCCTTCCAACTCACTCGAAGCTCCTCAAGATTACAGATGCACATGAGACCATCAGGCCTCATGTGACTTCTGGGCATCCAAACTCCCAGTCTGACACATGCAGGGCAAGCACTTTCTCTACTGAACCATCTCTCTAGCCATGGATTCTTAACAGTATTTCACACTGCATCAGGTGTAATCAGTAATTGCAAAATTGTGTGCTCTACCAATAATTATTCAGCTTGTGAATAAAGGAGGAATAAAGATGGTGAAATTGACTTGTACAGAGGAAAACAGTGTGATTTCCAAATTTGATATCTCCAGATATTCAGTGTATTTTAAAACCCATATACGCTTACCTGATTGGAGTCTTCAGTTCAGTTCCTGCATTCACTATGAAAGAAAAAGACAAAATGTATTATAAATAACTGCAGAAAATACAACTATTAAATGCCAAGGCTAAAGTTTTGCTACCACATATACTTTGACACCATTTCTGGATAGTCTTTCATGCAAATATTGATATATATAAAATAAATACATGGAGAATTCTTAATTTCCATTTTCTTGTATATTTCAAAGGCAAAGAGACAACATTAACAGAAGTTAATAATCCTAACAAATAGTGCAAATATATATGACCCTATTAGACAGAGGAACTGGCATCTACACCAGATCAGTATCTCAAACTGAACCTCGTTGCTGTTGCTCTTTTGTCTGTGGACTAATGCTGCTAGGAATTATGAGTATTCTCATTTTGTATAGGAGTGAAATGAGCTTCCCCAAGGATTGAGTTTAACTTGCTCCATTGAGAATGAAAATTCCAGACACAAGGAAGCTAAGTCTATGGTGACTGCCCTCTGCAGCATAGCAGAACATAGGAGATGCAAACAGACCAAGGACAAACACCTTTGGGAAGAATTTCCACCTGCCAGTGTGGCAAAGCTCTGGAGAGGTCAGTGTGCTTTGTCTCCTTGTCCCCATCTGAGGAGGATGTTAAGAAGCCCCTCCATTCTAGCTAGAGTACCTCATGCCTGTGCAGTGTAAAGGAGCTCAGCATCAGCTCCCTTCACCTCCCACCATAAGAAGTACTGGAAAGGTCGTCCCTTAGCAGTTATGCACCCTGAACTGGATCTCCGGTGAGAGAATCGTGGAAGAAGCATGGGCACAAAGCAGCCATTTCAAGGGAGTAGTATCTCACATGAAACCCTTTTATGTTTCCACATGTAAACCATCAATGAGCTGAGCTTTCACTTTTCACTCTATGCTAACACTCTGCCCTCCAAAAAGAAAGAAAATCAATTCTTGTTGGCTTCATTTGCAGTATGCAAAATGTCATTTCCTTGACCCTGCCCATGACTGAGGTGAGCATTTGTCCCAGCAGTAAATGGACTGAGAATGCAGCTCAGTGCTAGAGCCTACATTCAGCATGTGGGAGGCCTTGGTCAGTTCTCATCACCACAAGGGAGGTTCAATAATATTGTGTTGAAATAATATAAAAGAAAATCACCCGGGTTATAGTAATACTGGCTGCCACTTTTCACCTCATCTCTTATGTGAAGAGGGGCATTCCAATTCATCTACACTATCACTCCCTGGTTTGCCTTCCAAAGGCAAGATAGGTGTGAAAGATTCTGTGGTTACAGTTGCTGAAGGCACAAATCCTGTAGCATTCTCTCCACTGTTAGAATCTTGTCCAGACTCAGTGGGCCAGGACCCTGTTGTCAATGTTGCCGACTTGATAATAGTGTTGTTTTCTCAACTTTCCTGCTACTGTGGCATATTTTCTTGAAAATACATCTTGTAACACATAAACCAATTGTCATCATAACCGGCATATGCTGGCATAATCTGGCCACATAGGCAATAGAGAAAGCACTTGCCTAGAATGCTCACAATGGCAGTGTTCAATCCCTAGCACTGCCTACAAAATTCAAAATCCATTGACTTTTAAAAGATATTCTTTGAACCTCTTACATACTGTTTCAAGACACATTCACATTTGTGGTGGTATTTTACTTGTACTGAAATATGATTTTAATTGTATGGTAATAAATAAAGTTGTCTGGGGGTCAGAGCTATTGGAGCCATAGCAAGTGCGTGGTGGCGGTGGCGCACGCTTTTAAGGACCTGGAGGGCAGTACATACAGGCAGTGAGGAGGCAGTCACATGTTTGGGTTTACAACCAATGAGAAGGCAGAACAGAAAGACTATAAAGACATACACACACAGGAAGTAGGTCCCTTTTCGGAGAGTTCCCTTGGCTGGAGAGGATCCCTGAATCAGGAAAGGTGAGGCTCTTAGCTCTGACCTCTTGGCTTTCTTCTCTGAATTGGCTCTGTGTTTCTTATTTAACAAGACCGTTGGTTACATCTACACACATTAAGTGGCAGATACTTAAAGGTAACAGGAAGACAATATGTGAATTGTCTAATATGTCTAAATTGAAAAATTACAGAATGGAAAAAAACAGATCACCTTAATTACATTTAGTCACAAAAAATTAATGAAGGTAATTGGATATTGCATTTTTGGTTTTATACATAATCACATTGCCATATAATAATACATAGCAAAAAATGATGCGTTTCCTATAACAACTGAAAAACAATCCATTTTACAACAGAGCCAACTTGCTATTAAGTGGGTATAGAGGATATGTGGACTAGGTTAAACATCATTTTCTTATTTATACAAAAATATTACATTCGTCAATGGCTCATGCTAAAAAACAAACAAACATGTTTCAGATGATAGGGTTTGAGACTGTAATTTCTTAGAAAGAACTTAACAGATTTTAAATTCTACAAATGTTAAGAAACAAATTAAGAAAGAATATAACTGCATTTATATTGGATTTCCTTGGCTTTTTTTTCTGGAAAAAAAACTTGTTACTCTTTTTCAATTAGGGTAGGACCAATAGAGTATTCACTATTAATCTTACCTGTACTGATCTGGACAGGCTTTTTAAGTATCGATTGTAGCTCTCCTGGAGTTCTTACTTCACTGTGACATATTTTAAAAGTGATAATTTAATAGCCATTTTAAAAAATATTTACCCAATGATTTGAATTTGTTGTTGTTTCAGTTCATAACATAACTTACATTATAAATTTACAAACAGCTACTAATACGTTCTTCAATATTTTGACTGGAGTGGGTGACACTTTCCTTACAACTTTTTCTTGTGTTGAAGAAAAAAAAGAACTGAGCCACAAAAAAAATACCTCAACAAAAGTACAGAGAGACAGAGAGAAACAGAGAGACAGAGACAGGGCTAGAGACAGAGAGACAGAGAGAAAGAGAGACAGAGAGTCAGACAGAGGCAGACAGAAGAGACACTGGTTCTTTCACAGCCTTTGTTCGATGGCTACAGTAACTGGTCGTCTATAGTCACATGTTCAATGGAATTAATATCCTGTCTCCATCCCCATTCCTTGCCCTTAGAGCACTACAGCACCTTCTTTGTCATATTTTTGGCATTTCAGTGACTGTGGTGTTCCCTCCCAAGAGCTTGATTTTCAGACCATGGAATAGAGTCCCGCTTCTGCTAACACTCTAACTTCCAAACCTTTCCTTGACAGCCCATTCAGGAGGGAATCCTGCACCACAATCTGGCTGTTTATGTGCTAAACAAGGATTTCTACAAAGACCAATCAAGGTAATAACATGAAGACAAAAATAAAACCTGGTGGATAATTTTTGTTATTTGATATGGAACTATTTAGAATTCCAAGTAGAATTTAACATTCAAGGTGTGTCTTTGAAATGTAGCAACCAGAAAATTATGAATCTTTACATGGGTAATTAACTCTTCCAACTTGGGGATCTTTTAACTTGGAGTAAATCAGCTATTTCATAATATGTAACAGATGTTTTATTATATACAGCCCCATTAAAGAAGATAACAATGTCCTCTATTATGGACCTAGTCAACTATACCGAGGACAGAACTGGCTTGAAATGAAGGTTAAATTCTCTACCTAAGCAGTGTCTAGGCTAGCAGATCATGGACACAAATGTGCTTTCACCTCTGTGTTTATGTCCAAATAACATGGAAGGAAAATACTCTTTATACAGAGATAACTAGTAGTCTTGTTGTAGTTAAGATTTGAGATTCATAGGACTCATTATGGGGGAAAACAGATTACTGATGAAACAATTGATGAATGGAGCTCTTCTGGGAAAAGGATGGAATGTGTCTTTACCATGGAAAATTGTGTGCTATACCTGATACAAGGATACTTTGCATGTAATTCCGGTATCAGAGAAGGAAAGCCAAATGTTGGCTGCCTCTGATAGCTTCTGATAATTCAGAATGATCCCAAATCATGTATGCTCTCAGAAAAGATAAATGTCAAAAATGATAACTGCTAGTGAAAGTCTAGGTTCAATGCTGACTTCAGAATGTTTTTGAATAAGTAAGGAGAGTCGATTTGATATTAATAAGTGTGAGTAACACAAAAGGTTCCTTTTCCAAAGCAGAGAGTTAGTGCTTGGGAAATGAGAGTTGAGTGTAAAACTTGTGTCTATATGAACAAAAATGAACAAGTTCTCAGTCTAAAATTATATTCATAATACCATAGGGACTATAAGACACAGCAAGCTTCCAGTATAGAGTACCTAACTCAGAGCACACCAAACAGGAATTAGTCTCTTATCTTTGAATTTCCCTAATGTTAATGTACTGTTAAATCTCTTAAATCTTACTTGCAGAGAGGCTTTGGATCAGTACTGTGGTGCACTTCTAAAGATAAAGAAAAATTGGTTTATTATAACTCCACAAAAATATATAAATGGAAATAAACTCATTGTCAATATCAATTCCATTAAGATCAATGTGTAGACTATTCTAGAGTAAACGTTCAGTTGTGGGCAATTAATTCCGAGAGCTCTTACTTCCATTCACGGTATATTTAAACTCAAAGAGAGAGCAATCTATCAAGCATTAATGCCTAAAAATAAACTCCTATGCAGATCTGTGATGATCCTAACTAAACAATCTCAGACAGAGAGAGCAGCATCCTTACCAGACTCAGGACCTCAAACTGACTGAGTCACAAAATAGCTTCTTGTTGTTGTTTGACCCTGGGCTAAAAGTACTAGAAAGAATTCTTGATTTGGTGTGGTGGTGCACACCCTTAACACAAGGGGGGCAGCAGAGCCAGAGAGATTTCTGTGAGTTCTAGGTCAGCCAGAGCTTCATAACAAAAAGATTAGTCACATAACATAAAAAAGGAAAATTTCTTAAACTGTATAATCCTATTTCTTTTCCTTCAAAAACACAAAGAAGTTTCTTCAGCTTTTTAGCTGATATTGTTCAGTTTAGGTAAAACGCCCCAGCACGGGAAGCTGGGTGTACAGCAACTGTCCTTTGCAGCATGATGAAACACGGTGGACAGAAACAGACCAGGGACAAAGACCTTCACAAAAAGCTAAGAGGGAACAATTTGCATACTCTCCTCATCCTTTTTGGGAAAGAGGCCCCTTAGTTCCAGCTCAGTTCACAAACTCATGGGCAACTTAAAACCCGGTCATTACAGTGTTCATCATCTCCCATAAAAACAGTATTGGAATGAATCCTCCAAGTAGTTATGTACGGTGAGCTGTATCTCACAGTGAGAGAGCATCAGGAACATCAGTGGGGTGGAACACCACATCCCATGGATCACCTGCTGACCTGGAATCAATTGACATGTCTGTGTCCACAAAATAGTAACTCACTCAAGTTTTCACTGTACACTGATAGTTTGTCTTTCATCAATGAAAATTACTCCTCTTTTTGTCTTGTTTCAAGAGAAACTTTCTGTATCTTCTTAGCATTCCCCATGACTCAGGAACAGCATCTGACCCACTATCGAATGGGTTGAGACTGTGGCTCAGTGGTAAAGCCTACGCCTATCATGTGGGAGCCCTCAGTCAGCCCTCATCACTATAAGTGCAGAGAACAACAAAATTCACAGTAACATGATACTAGAAATTTACCTGCATTACCATAATACTGACTCTTTTTGTCTTACCTCTGAAGGGAAGAAGGCATTTGGATTTACTACCTAGTGTGGCTGCCAGTGGCAAGTTAGGTATAAAAGACACTGAGATGACAGTTATTGAAATACAAACTCTGCAGTGTTCCTTCCACTGTCAGAGAGTATCTCTAGACTCAGTGGAGATGCAGCTAATTCTGTGACATACAGAATGATGTCATTGGCTCAACTCTCCCTTCATGTCCAAAGTTTCTCTGGAAAGTGTGCTTTTCAGTGTGTAAGCCATGTTTTTATCATACCCTTATGTACTTAACAAAACAAAAGGGAAAATGTTATAAGGGTAGAATAAATATGAAGGGTGCAAGCTAGAATATTCACAAGGCCATGCATTCAATCCCAGAACTTCAAAAACCCAAAACCAAAGAAAGAAACAAAGAAGAGAAGAACATATAAGGATTGACAGTCTTCTTAAAGTCTATTACACTTTCTATGACTCAGCATTGTCAGTCTACTATGGGACAGGACTAAAGATAAACTTAATTAAGCGTGTGGAATCTACCTCAAGTGAGAAATTGCAAGATAAATAAAACACCAAGATGACTGTAATTACCTTATTAGGCAAGAAATTAATTAAAGTGACTGATTATTAAGTTTGTGACATAATTACATTTTAGTAACATTCAAGTTTGTAATCATATGCAGTACAAAGGATGAAGCATTTGTTATAAAAACTGAAAGAAAAAATCAGTTTTTATAACAGTCCAATTTGCTAGTGTGCTTATGGAGTTCCCCTGCCCGGTTAAGAAGTTTTCTCCTTTATACAAAGACAGTACATGTTCTGTCAAATCAAATGAGCAACATTTTTGACAGTATATTTTCATGGTTGAAAGTGCTTAGAAATGTTTAATTGATTCTGATTTTTCCAGACCATTAGGAAACAAATTTTAAAACAAAATAACTACATTTATATTTGATTTCCTTAACTCCTTTGGAGGTGTTAAAATTTTTACTCTTATTTGTTTTATTTAGGGTAGTTAGGGACAGATAGAGTAGTTCAATATAAAAATCTTACCTGTGTTGAGTCTCACATGTTCTTTGTTTCTCTGTTCTGGCTCCTTGGCAGATGTTCTTTCAGTGTGACATATGTTAAAAGTGATCATTGTACTATTAGTATGAAAGACATTTAGCAAGTGCTCTAAAGGCTTTACTTTTGAGTCCCTATCTGATATAGGATCTCACTATGTAACCCAGACGACCCGAAACCTAGTAGGTGGACCATGTAAGCCTTGAACTTACAGAGACACGCCTGCATTCTGCCTCCTGAGTTCTGAGATTAAAGCCTTTGGCAAAACTCTGGCAGTTAACTCAGATTTTTCTCTGTTTAAGCAATGAGGTATACATCATAGGCTTTAAGAAGAAATTTTAAATTCTCTAAAATTGAACGAATTTAAAATATACCATGCTAGATATACAATGAACGACATACTCAGAAAGAAACCAGTAGCTATAAGTACCTACATTAAAAAGAGTCAGAACGATCTCAAATAACTTAATGATGCATCTTAGGGCTTCAGAGAAACGAGGACCCAGCAAAGCCAAATTAGTAAGTGGAACGCGACATGAGGGCAGAAATTAATGATCACACACAGGAGGGGCCAGGGGTTTTTCCACACACTTTGTTCCCATGGCTGCAGTAACTGCTGACTTTGTTCATGTGCTCAATGCACTTAATGCTCCTGTTTAATTCCTTTCCCACACCCTAGAGCACCATGGTCCCTTCACTATCAGGAAACATTTTAGGTATTTCGCTGAGTCTCATGCTCCCTCCCAAGAGGTTGGTGGGTAGAACATGAAACAGATTCATAGCTCTAAGGGCTGAAGGGCCAGCACTCTCAGAAGCCACCACATTTTTGGTGCTTTAAAGCTGCTTTTTGATAGTCTATTCACCAGTATATGATGAAGCTGTCAAATGGCTATTTTTACGCT